TATCCATTGCATTATTTAATTGATCAGCCGCCAATTAGATAATTAGTTGATTATTGTAGTGTTGGGAGACTCACCATAAGTTTAGAATGCAGTAAAATTAACACATGTGCATTAGATGTTAAAAATAATGTTTATCACGTGTGCAATCATATTAATTAAAATAAATTTTAATGCATTCTAATCATTCAAATTTATGCTAGGTATAGACTCGGGTCATGATTTAAATAGAGTTAATTTATTTTGGAAAAGAAAATTAAATACATTAATTTTATCGATTGTCAAGAACGTATGAATATGATTAAACTACATAATTGAAAATTGAAATAAATAGCAATATGTGGATTTGAATTCCAATACAATCATCCATAATTTAATACAAAAACACTTTGTATCACTTTCTTAGATAATTTAGCATAAAATCAAATCAAAATATCTCTTTTATTTACGTAATTCGAATTCCATAAAAAACTAGTAAACTTTATTAAATTTATTTCCCATGAAACGATACTCTTAACTAATCAAATCTATTACTTGTCAACGGTTTCGTACAGTTGCGGATTTCACAAGAACACCTTACAATATTATTTTGTAAAGGTTTTACTGTATTTTTTTTTTTATTTTTTTTTTGCAGTTAAAAGCAAGAAGTATTGCAAACACGATGTTAGATAAAGTTGTTCAAATAAAAGGTTAATGGCTCAAGTGGAAATAGCAATAAAGTGGAAGGATCTTGGCTATAATTTTGAAATGGACTAATTTATTAACTTGAATATAGTTTGTAATCCTATAATGCAGTTAAGAAATGTCTATGGCTTAATTTACAATTCATGGATTTTAATCAATTGAAAAAAAATGAACACGCGGTGTGATGCAGAAGCCTGATGGCTTCCAACGAGGGGAAACTGATTTTCGAAATTTTGAGTTTTTTGGTGCGAAAGTTGCATCTTTTCATGATCCATTGTGCATTCCTTTCAAATTATTGAAGTCAAGTGATGCCATTTAATTATAAATATGTGGTTGGGGTATGGTTTTTTAAACAATCATAACATGATAATTTCCATAATTGCTCTTATTTTTCAGAAATTTATACAAGTGTTTAAATTTCATTTGAAGAGTTTTTTACTTTGTTGTTTTGTACAAAACTCAGAAAGGCTCATTATATCCTCGAAGTTGTTTGTCATAGATCTCAAAAGCAATTCGAGAGGAGTCAAATATCACTTTAAGGAGAGTGTATCATATACACATTTCAAGTCTTCATTTTGAAATTTTCTTCGTCATATTGGTTCGAGTTTTTGGTTTCGATATTCTTCTTCTACTTCGAATTTGTACAAGAATTTATTCCAACGCACAAGAATCAAAAATTTTGTTTACCATGAATACCTTTTGGTACATAATATTGCACAAATATGCACAATATAACAAACAAGATTTTTAACTTGTGTAACATCACCATTCACCAAACATATCATAAAAGGGTTACAATCATGATCTCATTTCTATTTGATGAGCCGTGGTTCTCGAGAGAGAATCAAATTCTCAATACACAACAATTTCAAGAAAACAAGAATAACATAAGTGTATTAAAGAAAACTTCCACAAGCCTACTAACACAACTCAACATAAGTGTACATTTGGTACACGAGAGAGGACTAGACGGTATGGCAATCAATATTTTAGCTATATCTTTCCTCCTTACCGTTGTCGAGTACCATCTAATTCTCTTGACCAAACATGGTCGTGTAGTTTTCAACTAGCTACAAGCTCACAAAAGTGATTTCACACTCTTTTTCCAGCTGAAGGATCTTGGACTTTTGCATGGTGGAATGAAGCTAAGGCCAAACATCTGCTTAAGGGTTTTCCCTTTATCTGAGAATCTAATCAGCTTTGCAACAATAGCAGCACTATCTCCAATGTGATCCATATCTTTAGGGTCACTCCAAAGGCGATGTACTAACTGTGACCTCCTTTGCTTCGAATTTCTTCTTATGCCCCATTTCTGATAAATTTGGTATCTTTCATCTCGGGTATACCTTTTATACATAAGCCTTCTCAGCACCTCCCTCTCACGTCTAAGAGCTTTCATGCTGTTGCTACAAGAATATAATAGGAAGTGCCAATCATAAGTAATAATAGATTTCAGGTTTTTGAGCCAACAGAACTAAATCGAATTGTTAGTAAAATGTTTACACGAGTCGAAACATAAGATGCTGTTAATTCATCTTTACACAGGCTCAAAATTTTTGTTTTTATCAAAATCAGAATTGACCTAAAACTTCTATTAGTCTTACATGTCAGTCCCATGATGTTTTTAAATACTCACGAAAATTTCCATGGCGAAAAGTCAGTTGGAAGTAGATGAATGTCATATACTGTGGTGTAAAAGTTCTTTATATATTCATTCCATGTCTGAAAATGTAACACACACTAAGAAGGGCATTCCTTTAAGAAATTGACAAATGTATACCGGACCGTGTCAATAATAATTGTACTGTTCCCTTGACCGCAGGGCGACAATGTTATACCGCAGGGCGACAATGTTATATTGGGTAGTGCAGACAGATTAAGTCTCCTTGACATTCCTGTCATATATAAAGGATTTTAGGGAGAGTCATTGTTTCTTTAGATAAGACGGGGGTCCGTGAAACACCTAGTAATCTCCTTCTTTATTATAGTCAAAATCTGCAATCACAAGTGGACATAACTTTCACATTGAGAGTGAGCCACTAAAATTTGAGAGTTTACTTTTTGAGTGTTTTCTTTCTTCCTTCTGTTTATTTTGCTCTCAGAGCTAGAAATTAAGGTTTAATCAATGATAGTGAGACCACAGAAATACTGTGAGAAAGAGAGGAAGTCAGAAGATACCTTATTGCCAACGTGAGAGGGCGGCTATCTTGTGCAGTA